GCGCCCTTGGACCTCTGATAAACTTCCGAATGTTATGATCCAGAATTCAAATTAGCCATTGTTCTTATGCTTAAATATGATTTATTTGCAAATCCTATATGGTCCACCTTCGCGAAAACGGGGTGCAGTACTGTACTTACAGAAAAACATAAGATGTGTGATGACGAGCTCGTTTAAACATCTCGTCATCACACAGCTTATGTTTTTTCTGTAAGTAACCAATTGGTTATATGTATGTTTATCTACTTGAGTCTAGTGGCTTACACTCAGGTGACATAACTGCCTACCTACGTGGATAAAGCCTGTGGCGCCTGGCAAGAATAAGAAGACGGGAAGATCCACCACATCCAGGTTTGAAAATCTGAATGCTGTACTTCGAATATTTAAACTAGACGAAGCGCCTCCAGCTCACCCAAAATAAACTCACTATCCTTTTTCCTCAAGAAGACCAAGTCAACCACAAAACCCAAAATTCGCCGCGACCCTCTGCTAGCCAAGGCGCGTCATTTTCATATATAAAATCTGCAAGGCGAATCAAGGACCTTCAGACATGGGGCGCAAACAACACGACGAGGACGACTACGTCACCTACACTATCATCACAATCCCCGCAACCGAGCACGTTCCAGCCGACACGGCCAAGATCCACATCCCCAAGTTCTACGGGGGCAACACCAAGGACTGACTGCGATGGAGCATGCGCTTCAAGAGTCTCGCTCAACGGAAAGGTTGGACAGTCGAGCAAGCCGCGATGCAACTTTTTCTTCTCCTGGACGGCGAGTTGAAGTGCGACGTCGAGGACAACGACAGACAGGCGATCCAAAACGGCTTATCCTTCACCGAGTTCTACGAGCGCATTGGAAGGCTGTTAGTCCCGGCCAACTACAGCGAGACGCTCGACGAAGAACTATGGAGTGTGGTGAAGCGCTCTAACGAGAGCGTCCAGCAACTCTACAGACGGCTCAAGGAGCTGGTACGCATGTTTGCTGAGCTGCCGACTAACGCGGAAGTCATCCCTGAGGTTCAGCAGTACCAGTTCTACAAGCGAGCTATGCCGCACGCATAGCAAGACAAGCTCGCAGCATCTGGCGTCGCTCACGA